AAGGAAGCAAGGAAGCAAGGAAGCAAGGAAGCAAGGAAGCAAGGAAGCAAGGAAGCAAGGAAGCAGCAAGGAAGCAAGGAAGGGCCAAGGCGAGTCGAAGTCACCCTTGCCTCAGCCTGTAAATTCTCTGTGGATGACGGGACAATGTTCAAACAAATGGGACATAAAACAGAAACTACACTCTTTTCACTCCATGTCAGTTTGAAGATTTATTCTGCTTTGTCTCCATAGTGATGTGCTTTTCTTTTAACAGGGCCACAACAAGGATGTGGGGGTTACCTGACAGATTCCAATAGTACACTTGTTTCTCCTGGTTCGAATTCAAATGGAAGATATGAAAAGGGCTTAAACTGCATATGGTTCATAACAGCACCTATAAACAAAGTCATAAAACTCACTTTCAACACATTTGTCCTGGAAAGTTCTGCTTCTTCAACAAGCTGCATTTATGATTATGTGAAGGTAAGACTATTAAATTTAATGGAATCTAGCCCCAAATTAACAAAGTGTATTCCAGGTACACCATAATAAGAAGTCATGAAAATGGGGAGTACTTTTGCTTTTTATAACACATTCTTCATTATTCAACATACAGTGTTACATATTGGGTATCTTCATATCAAGCTAATCTTTCCTGTGGGTAACTTAGAACTTTGTTAAGTGGCTCCCCACTTACCCTAAGATTTAGTTTGTATTTCATCAGTGCCTTGTCATGAGGTGAACTGTAAGAAGACTGGTTGTATGGAGGTACTCAAAGGACCTTGGGCAAAGCCTAAAATAAATGACAATATCAGGTCAGCAATCATCTTTCAGTTTATTTATTTATTAAGTTTACAGACTGACCTCTCACATTGCCTTTAGATATGAAAAGTACCTTAATTTTTAAGTCCCATTAAATGTAAACTATGAACATTTCTGTCCAATTTTTAAATAATTCTCTAATATTAAATTATTGTATCTTTCAGACTATGTGAATTCAGAATAAAAGTTTTAAGTAGCATCAACCAATACTTACTGGTATATCATCAGGGGAGAAAGAAAAAGTATGACAAGGTTTTTTCCCATGGGAACTTAAATCTGATTGGAAAATTAAGGAAAGACACATGCAAATCAAGTATAAATGAATCAGGATAATCAATATTTAAATGCTAACTAGTGCATTAGATAAAAACTTGGAGGATCATGCAAGTTTAAAGGAAAGGATAGTTAATGATAACCTGGTATGATTAAGAAAGACGTCTCAGGGTGAGGGGAAACATATTAAAATTAAGAGAAAACCAGAGGCCAAATGAATATTAAAAAGGGCATAGAAGTTGGACCGTGCATATTCTTTAAAGAATAAAGAGGCTGGTCTTGCTGAAGCAAAATATTAATAGATTAAGAAGAATTAATGTTGCCTAAAATAGTGAAAACATGTTACAAAGTATCATGAAAGTCAAATGAATGGATTTAGATTTTAGCAGCTGAAAGTAGGGAGTGGCCGAAGGTTATCCGAGCAGCCAGCGATGTGGAATACACATTCAGGTGAGGTAGAAGGGTCCAGGAGAGCTACCAGGAGAGACCCTGCTAAACGAAAAGGGCCTGGAAACAGGCAGGCAATGCATGAGAGGTAGGAGGTCTTCGATTTTAAAGACACTGGTTCAAAAGAAAGGAAAGTCGTAGGTGGAATTGGTATTTAAGCACTTGATTATATACTTATATTTTTCCTGTGATAAGCACTGTGTTTAGGATGCCAGGAAAACATGAGCATTCATAGGAGGCGTGGTTTCAGTGACAGCAGAACAGATACACGAGATTGCTCTGGCCAGAGAATGGGGTAGAGTACTCACGGGACATGAACATCTCTGCGGCCAAAAGGATAGCAACTGCAATTAGTGAGGAGAAAGAATGCTTTCTTAGACAGCAGGGAGATAAGCATGTACTCTCACTAGCTTCCAGGAAAGGTCCCAGGAGAGGCAATTGGAGAGGATAAAAGGCACAAGAAAAGAAACCATAAGTAGTGAAAACCAGGAATACTAAGTTTATTATATTATTTTAGTATCACTGAAATTGACAGAAACTTCTTTTCCCAGAGCATGGGTGGGCAATGCTATTAAATCACAGATTACAAGCCAAGTAGGTTAAAGTGAAGAACAAACTCATTCCATGGGATGACAACCATTTTAATAAAACATTGGGTCAGAAGCCATGGCAGAGTAAGTCCATGAAAGACTGGAGATAACAAGGAATTTCAACTCAGACTGAGGTTTTCTTTCCTAAAATGAGAGTAAAATGCACATTTTATTAAGACACATCATTTTGTTTCTTCCCTTCTGAGTTTACTTGTTACTTTCCATCTAAGAAATTTTATTTGCCAGAGAACTTCGCTCTGAAGTGTTTCCCAACTGATTTTTAAGACCCAAGAGCTCCCCTAGTTTTACAGAGAGGTAATAAACTTTAGAGGTAGTATGAGGACTCGGACCCTGTTTTGTTATCAAATTCCTTGATCTTCCTGATTCTTCATCATTTCATCTACTAAAATGAAATCACAGAATAGAACTTTCTTTGCAAGACTGTTTTGAGAATATTTAAAAATGTGTATCAGAGTGTTTAGATTGTGTCTGACATAATTTGTTAACAAAGTTATTTCACTTTTTTCCTCCTTCAAGTAAATCCAAATAGGCAGAGAGGTTATGGAATGTCTCTTTTTTAAAATACTGAAAATAACTGAGTATGATCTTATAAGGAGAGTTGATTGAATGTACTCTCAAGATCTATTTCTAGGATTGTGACTTGATAGTGTTGTATAACAGCTTGTAATCATCTGAGTTTCTTCAAATTACTTAGGACAGAAATAGTAAGAAACAAAAAGAAGTAGTTCATTTCTAGCTTCAAAATAAAACACTGTTTTGCCCCTAAAAATGTTTGTTTAGATTGACTCTTGTTTTCCCTCTTGGGAAAGCAATTTTCCTCAGCTGGCAACTCTTCCAACTTCTGCTAACTAGCCAACCAAATAACAGCTCCTGGAGTGGGAAGCTTGGAGGGGTTCTTATTACTGAATCTCTGTGATAAATGGAACATTGGCTCCCTTTTAAATTGCTTCTTAGACATTATAATAAAATTGCTTTTTAGCAAAGCTAGATTAATTCCACTCTATAAGTAGATATGCAAGGTGTGTCATGCCAAGCCCATTATTCATTCATATTTCCATTACTGTTATTGTTGAAAGGGTTGGCTTGGTGAGTAAGTAACACATAATGAACTGTGCATTTCCTTGAGTGGTTGATACTGAAATCGACATCACAACCATTTCACAGAGTTACTTGGCAGTCACTGTAGCTGGCACTGGACATGTGGAGACATAAGGACACATCTTAAGGAGTTAAAGCTTCCCAAGGAGTGTTCAGCCCATGGAGGAGACTGAAGCATCAGCAGATGTGTTATTATACAACATGATAAAAATGGCAAATATAAACAATTTAGAAAAGTAGAGTGGTGAGGGATCTCAGTAGCTTCATTTTGAGACTCAGGAAGGGCTTCCAAGATGGGATGCTCAAAAGAATGGGAAGCTTCCTCCTTTATCACTTTCCACAAATTGAGAGAAACATCACATAACCATGATTGTTGAGGGACACTGACCACCAAAAATAAGGGGAAAACAAGTGGCTCTGAACTGCATGATGTCATGCCTAGCTGCTGCTGCTGCTTCTCCTTTTTCTTCTCCTCCTTCTGCCTCTCTTCCTCCTCCTGCTCCTCCTCCTCCTGTTCCTCCTTCTCCTTCTCCTTCTTATATATTTTGTTCAGGGTCTCACTACACAGCTCAGACTCATAATGATCCTTCTGTTTCCAAGCCTTCCAGAGCTGGGATTATAGGTGTGCACCACCACGCCCAGACTCATTCACAGGCTCAGTGTGCCCAGGGTTGGGGCTGAGGTGGCCTATGACGCTGGGGATTGAACCCTAGTCCTTACGCTTGCCTAAGCAGACACTTAGTCCACTGAGCTATCTTGCTAGCCCTATGCCTAGTTTCATGACCCCAAATTCCTTACCAGTTCATCCTCTCCTGTGCTGAAGAGCATGATGTGGCCTAGAGGGACCAGCAAGTATTACCTGCTTTCCTGTGCTGGAAAATATGGTGGCAGCAGTAAGGAGATGGCCTCCTCCCAATATTTCCCAGAATCCCTTCCATAAGTGCCTCATTTATAGCCAATATTTTGTAAAGCTTCCTCTCCTATCTAATATGAAATTTTTATATGATAATTGTTCTGTGGGATTCAGTAATTTGGTTTCTAAACAAGAAATGCCAGATTTACCCCCCAAATATTGTTTTAATTCCAGTATGAACCCAAAGAATCCTACACTTATGTAAAACATTCCCTAGGGACTAGTACTGATTACACTGAAAACTTCTGTCTTAACCCACTGGGTCTAACCATTTGATCTGTGGTCAACCACTGGGAGGAGGGACTGGCAGTCTTTGGGTAGAAGATCAGAATTCCATGTAGGTATTGGATTCCTGTGAGGTTATACTGCTATGTTTGCTTTCCTTCCTCTTTTCCTTCTTTCCTTCAGTTATTTGTTAAATAAATGTTAGTATAAAGCCTACTTTATTCCATATATTTCTCCAAGCACAGGAAAAGTGTACTAAGATTTTTCAAAACTCCTGCTGTAGTTGAGATCCTGAATGTCCCTGAAAGGCTCCTGTGTCAAAGGCTCAGTGGCCATCCTATGATAGGAGTAGGAGGTGGGGCTTAGTGGAAGGAAGTTAGGTCTTTGGGAGTGTGGCCTTTAAGAGGGGATACTGGCACTCCAGCCCATTCTCTCACTACTTCCTGCCACCATGTGGGGAGCAGGTTCCTCCCAGACATGTGCCTTTTCCCTCACTGAAGGCCCACACTAACCAGGCCGAGTGACTTTGGACTCAAACTTAGGAAAACAAGAGCCAAAATCAACCTTTCCCTTTAAACCGATCATCTCAGTCATTTTGTCCCAGTGATTAAAAAAAAGTACCACAAATGTGAAAATACCTGTACTGGTGGAGCAGGTTCTAATCCATGAAGCTTGGATTCTCTTCCTGAGACCAGGGTCACTAGTACAAATTTTAGTCTAGAAAGTTCTGAAATGAATCAGAGGTTAGCCCCATACCTGTCTCCTTTTCCCTTACCAAGGAATTCTTCAGCAGATTGTCTAGAAGATCCTATCAGAGATTCTACAGTAAGGTCAGAAAAGTGAGGAAGATGCCAGGCCCAATAGCGCATGCTTATAATTCCAGCTGTATGGGAGGATGAGGCAGGAAGAATGGCAAGTCTGAGGACAACCTGGGCAACTTAGTGAAACCCCATATTTAAAAAAAGATGCTGGAGATATCACTTACTGGTAGTGATCCTATACTGGGAAGAAAAATATTCATGAGAGAAGCCAAGAAATGGGGAAGGAGAAAGGGACATAAAGAGAACTGTGCTATGTCCGTGTACCAACTCCCAACAATGATGTTATCATTATGTATTATAAACATGTATTAATAGAAAGTAACCTTTTTTAAAAGGTGCAAATTTGAAATACTCAAGTAAGAAAATAAGACATTCTCCTATTAGTAAATTTCCTGGGAAATATTAAATAACAAATTCCTATGGGAATTAATGTCTGCAGTTATTGTTAGTTCTGAAAACAAATTCTGATTTCAAAGTCTGTTGCTCTTGTGCATTAAAAGTATATACAGATTAAAATCCAAAATTTTCCTTCCCATTTCTTCAACTGTTCAAGCTAATGGGTGGGCAATGAACAGGATCTTGTAGTAGTTGTAGTCACCAGAGGCTGATTTCCACTAAATCATTTGCCTGCTCCCTTTAGAATTTTAAGTAGATTCTAATACTATTAAAGAGATGAGACAGTTGAGATAATACAAAGTTCTTTTTAGCACTTGCCCACATCTACATGACTCAGAACAAAAGTTCAAGCCATGCGCCTAAAGCAGTTATCCCAGGAAGTGCCCACCGCCAGAAGACACACCATGCAAGTGCTGAGGAGACCAAGTGAATCCTAGCCCTTATCCAGTTCCCTCCCCAGCACCCTTAGGCACTGCCCACCACACTTGCGAGAGCAGCTCTGCTGAAGGCCCACAGTAGAGATTTGGGCTTGGCTGAGAACAGGAGAGCAGATGGAGAACACAGGAAGACGTCTAGGGGTCCATGTCAGTTGTCCAGTGGCCACCAGCTATTTCATCTCCGTTAGGAGAGATCTTACTATGCTAGTGAACGATGGCATGCAAAGGTTGGGTAGGACCAGGCATGGGCACAATTCCCTCGTATCCAGCCCTGGCTTCTCCCTCATGTTTTCCTCCATATTTGTCAGTTATCTATCTAAAACCCGAGTCAAGTCTTAGAAGTCCTGCAGCTGAGGTCCCAACTGCCTGGCAGGAAATGGGTTGAAATTCCAAACTCTACAGCCCTGTCCAAGGCCCATCCCCACTTGTTCTGTTCTCTCATCTCTGGTCCCCTCCAGGGCACGTGCATGTCATGCTCTGTGGCCTCCCTCCTCCCTCCTTCTGCTGTTCCTCTGCTGGTCCTGTTCCTTGGGTGAGTCTCAAAAGTCTCTCCTTATTTTCAAGGACCAGTTCAAATGTCTCTATGAAGTCTTTGCTGATTTCTGTCATCTTCACCGCATTTCCATTCGTCTATGGTGGCACTTCCTTTTCCTCATTTTTTTACATGATTCACATACATGTGTATGCGCGTACACATGCGTGTGTGCGTGCGTGCATGCTTGTGTGTGTGTGTGTGTGTGTGTGTGTGTGTGTGTGGTGTATTTAATTTATCAGCCTTTCCTTTCCCTCGTCCACAGGTACTTCAGAGGTACAGAAAGCGTTTTTCACTCCTAGCACCGAGCAGTGAGGTCAGACACGCAGTACACCTTAATGGTACATGGGATGACAGTGCTGGGTAATGTGACTGTGATCATGAAAATGGCAAGGATCCTAATGAAACTCTGGCTTAGTTACCACAAAAAGTGCATTGCCTCCAACTTGGCAAATGGCCTCTTTAAAATTATAGGGTTAGATGCCAGAATTCTCAAGTCTCTTCTCATTCTACAGTAGTTGAATTTATGCTGAAGTAGGAGAGACATTGCCATCTAGTGGTAAATCTGTTTCACGTTTTGTTTTAAAATGACCTAGTCAACATAATCCTAGCATTTTAAAATAATATCAGCGGTCGTGGTTGTTTTGCGGTGTCTGGCACACTGTCACTCTGATATGACTTTATTATTTCAAACTACAAAAAGTATAGGCACTCATTTTAGAAATACAATCAAGATTACTCAATTGGAGAAAACTTGATTTTCTCATAGAGTATTTGAAAGAGCTCCAGGCGCCCCACTGTCTCTGCTGGCAGTGGTTCTGGCTGCTGGAGACATCCGGTCTCCCTGTCTGTGGCACTTACTTTCTTGTTGAGAAGGAGACCAAAAGAAGCACACAAGCCTCACGCCTAAGCACATATCCTGGGAAACATAGGCTCCCAGCAGGCAACTTGAATATAGTAAAATACAATGGTGGGGAGGTCAGCACTGCATAGGGTGGGCCTCTCTGAGGACAGCTGAGATCCCATGGCCTTGCTGGGCCATTCAGCAGCTGCACAGTGACTGCTGCTAGCGAGTGCAGAAGCTGCAGGCCGTGGCGCCTCTGGGCTGGTAAGAAAGGAGTGAGTCTGCACGGCAGCACAGGCCAGATCCCACAGGGCTGCAGAGTAGTGGAAACTCTACGCTAACTGTAGGGTGAATCTGCTGGAGCTTTCCAGGGGGGACAGGAGTGAAGCCTGACTTAAGATCCCAGCCCCTCGACAAGCTTGGTGGAGAAGTCTGAGCCTGCTCTGTGGAATTAGGTATTTTCAGGTAAAGGGTGATAGGATAACAGTGGAGATGGCATCCTTTGAGATACATTTTAAAGGCAGAAGGCAATGAATGTGGGAACAAAGAGGGAAGTGTGAAAGAAACCAAGGATGAGTGAAAATTCAAGTTTGAGGCATTCATTGGGACAAAGAAGACTACTGGGAAGAGCAGTCGGGGGTGGGTGGGGCTATGGTTTGAGTGTGTCCTCTGAGTTCAAGTGTTAGACAATCCTTAAATACCTATCATTATATTTTTAGTCAGGGCCTTTGGGAGGTAATGAGGGTTAGTTAGGGTTATGAGGACGTCCCCCAAAGAGAAGGGAGATGGGAGCTGGCGTGTCCCTGCTCTCTCTGCATGTGATGCCTCTCCCCTGTCATGTTGCAGCAGGGAGCCAGCTTGACTTGAGATTCCCTAGTCTTCAGCACTGTGAGAAAGACATTTCTTTATGAATTACCCAATCTAGGATATCCTGGTATAGCCACACAGTGCAGACTAAGACAGGTGGAGAGGAGAGGAGAGAAATAAAAGCACTTATTAGGTACTTATTATGTGTCTGACAATCAGGGGACATTGCAATGAATGGAACAGACAGAAATCTGTGCGTCTCTGGAACTTGCATTCTCATTAGAGAAAACAATGAGATAAATAAGTCATATGCATAGAATGTCAGATTTAGGGCCAGGGATATAGCTCAGTGGCAGAAGCTGCTGTCTGCCAAGCTCAAGGCCCTGAGTTCTATTCCTGATACTAAAAAGAAAAAGAATGTCATATTTTACTGAAGAAAATCAGACAGGAAAGGAAACAGCAAGCCAAGAGAGTGGAAACAGGGATGCCCTTCCTGAGTCAGTGACCTGGAGTAGAAACCACAGGGACTGTGGGAGGACAAACCGTATGGGTGCAGTGGGATTGGGACTCAAGCAAAGGGACCGGCCAAGTGAAAGCCAGGAAGCTGAATGGCACCTGCATGGCTCAAGGGGGACAGAGTGGAGAAAGAAAGTAGACCTGAAAGACTGGGATGAGGAGGAGAGCAGATCCTAGTGGGTCTTAGCCATTGCCATTTTTGTACTGAGAGAGAGGAAACAGGCAGATTTATCAGAGTGGATCCCTGGCCTGGCTTCTTTACAGCCTTAGCCCCTGGCTGATATTTTGAGAACAGACTAGAGAAGGACACTTGTAGAATTGGGGGCTCCATAAAAAACACTTTGGTGTTGATCCAGGCAAAGCATCAGAATGGCTTGGACTGGCTTGGTGGTGGGCGCTTCAATGAGGCCAGCAATGGGTTTGGGCCCTCGTGACGCACCATTCATTGAATCATGTATTACTTTCCCAAAGAGGAAAAAATGGTTGCCACCATACCAGTCTTGTACTGAAAATTTTTTTTAATGTCATTGATCCAATCATAATTCTGTTCCTAAATCTAGAATCTCTGTCACAGCAGCAACGTAAACATCCTTAGTCATGACCTCTGGTGACTTTACATCCTATGTGACATACAATAATGCAGTTCTCTGCCAGTGAGGGAGAACTCATGAGCTCATTTTCTTTTCAGTTATATGATGGGGAGAGTGAAGATGCAGACTTGGTAGGAACATTTTGTGGGACCAGAGTACCTGCTCCTTTTATCTCGTCTGGTAACTTCCTTACAGTTCAGTTTGTCAGTGATCTATTGATAGAAACAGAAGGATTTAATGCAACATATACCTTCATGGACAGTAAGTAAACTAATACTTTTATATGTTATAAACTACATAAGTACTTCTGTACTAAAAAAAATGCTATGTTTATTGTATCTAAACTCAATGTTAATTACTAAATTATATCAGTTGATCAATAAACATTTTATAACACTGTATAACCTGCAGTAAATTTTGATGCAATCCTTAATTAAAAATTTATACTTAAGGGATGGTGAGATAGCTCAGCAGACTGAACGCCTGCCTGCTTAGGCAAGAACAGGGACTAGAGTTCAATTCCTGGCACCATATGCTGTGCTGGCCCTGAAACCAGGTGTGGTGGGGTATGCCTGTAATTCCAGCACTGAGAAGGCTGAAAATAGGAGGATCACTATAAATCCGATCTGTACAGTGAAACCTTGTATCAAACACATTTTCAAAAAAAATTATACTTAATTCCTTAATAGAATGATACAAATATTCCCCCTTTGGGGACAGCAAATGCAGAATGCTAGAGACTGTGATGATACATGAGGAAAATATCTCCTACGTTGTTTTTCTCTTCTTTTTTCAGTGCCTTGTGGTGGAACATATAACGCAACTTGGGCTCCCCAGAATATTTCATCACCCTCTGTATTAAACGCTAGCTTTCCATTTTTCACCTGCACTTGGGTCATTAAAGCACCTCACTTCAATCAGGTCAAGATAACTGTGTGGGAACTACAGCTGCCAGCAGACGACTGTGCCCAGAACTATCTAGAGTTTCAGGACTCACCACAGGTAACCAGGACAGGATGGACAACAGTCACAGCTAGAGTACCTCTCACTAATATTTGTAAAATACGTGATGTAGGTAAGGCGTGAGTAAATAAATCTTCAAAGCTACTTATATTTTCAACTCCACTCAGGCATGTGGAGAATTTGATTCAGTAGGGCAAGAGCTTGCAAACTTTCCGATGCCAGCACATTCTCTGGATGTCTTGTTAAAAATGCCCCGGAACCCCCTCTGATGTTGATTCCCCTGCAGCAGAGCACCCACCAATCTCAATACGTGGTCAACATCTCAAATGTTCTGGCGGTGGCATCAGTGCTTCATGGACTGGGTGTATGCCTGCAGCCAGTGGGACCAGCATGTAGAAAGAATTGGAAAAGTCTACATGAGCATGAGAAAATTAGCTAACACTCTATGAGGGATAGGTCTAGGGGGACTGTATTCACAGTAGCATGGTAAGGGGAGAGATGGGGGGAGGGAGAAGGAAAATAAAAAGATTTCTTTTGATTAAAAGTGAAAAATAAGAAGAAAATCTTAATTACCCAATGAGTAAGTTGTTGAAAAGACTTTCAGGGTATAAAATGTGACATTAACATGAGACCTAAAGATTTCAGCATGCTCATCCTGTGGGCAGATAACTCATAATGAAAATGATGTGAGGGCTGGGGACATTCTGCACCATCAGGCCTCCACATGGACACCCGGAGAACACTCAGGAGTACATGGACTGTCTTTGCAGTCTGGGGAGTGACTATCCTATTCATTCCAAGAGTGTCATGTCCAGACAACTGTGTGTTGTCAGTAAGAATCCCATCTGTTATATTCCAAGTTCTCAGGCTCCTCATTAGATAGCTGGGGTTGCCTGGTTATCACATGTCCCCATCTTGGGAGAAAAACTCTAGTCTGTCTGACTCCACAGTGCTGACTTTATGAATTTGCTAAGTGTTATACATGTATTAGACACTGGAATTAGTCTTGAGCTCCCATAGTTGTCAAGATGCATGGTTGTCATCATTCTACAGTTTAGTAGTTTTCAGGACAAAGCTATTCCCTAAGGGTAGCCTCAGCAGGAACTTAGAGTCAAATAGACAACAAAACCCTTTGGGTTGAAGCTCTTAATTTTCCAGTGGTTGATGAAGTTGAGATGGCAGAGTTTGGAGAAAACCCTTAAGCTGGGCCCAATAAGGAGTTTGGGAATGAGTCAGCAGCTAGACTAGCTTACAGTTTGGCCCAATATTTGTCATGACTGATTAGGGCCCTTCATCTGAATAAATGAAGGAAACAATGAAGCATTTTTGTTTGAGTAGATAAGGAGGAAGAAAGAAACTGATGGATGGGCTGGATAAACTGACACCCTCAAAGTACTGAAGAATAGAAAGAGAACCATAGTGGGGAGATTGTAAAGAGACTATGTGGTGCAGGCAGTAGACGGGGGGAAGAAGGACAGATGGCCGGCACTTGGGTCAGCAACCTCATGAGTGAGGGTGAACATCACTAGGATTAAGAAGCTCAAAGAAGAGATGTTTAATGGCCCATCGAAAAACCTCAGACCTCCAAGACTTTAGAAAACAAATCAGATGACCTAAGTTACTGGTGACCTAAAGCATCACAAGTCTGTAATAAATGAAAGTGTGCACCCAAAAGAAGAGTAAATAAAAATGACAGGAAGGCTCAGGGAGCCTCTTTGACCCTTGGTAGAGACCTACCTAGGGGGACCAACTTTGCAGTGTGGAAGTGTGATGCTGCAGTGAGGAGCACAAAGAACACCACCAGTAGCAGCAGCACCACCGCCCCACCAGCACCACTGCCACCACTTTCCCTCAATGAATTGTGCGTGGGGGTGCAGAAGGGGGAAGATTCAGATTTCACATAAGACTACAGCATGGAAAAGCTGGGGATAGACACAGGGGGTGGTTGACAGTGGAGCTGAAATTCAGATGACACAGCAGGCAGAATCAGGGATAGGACCAGCAGCAGGAGACAGGGATGGAGGTAGGCCAGGAGCCCACCCTAACAGAAGTCTTCAAACAGGTCTGGAGTACGGACCTTCAGTAGGTGATAGAGAATGAGTATCAGAGATGCACTAACTTTGGTACAAGTTGGTATTGAGCAGGAATTGATGGCTATTTAGCCACATTTGGACCATGGTCTTGAGAGGGAATGTGGGCTGCCCAAGTACGAGAGAAGGGCCAAGCAGCACACTGTAGGTGGCAGCAGTTTCAGGGGACTTGCTGTAGTGCTGAACCCTCCAAATAGGTTTTCTACAGGGCAGCAGAGGCTGGGACAAGGGAGTGGTCTTGAGTTAGCCTTATGGGCTCAGTACTTGGAAAAGAGCTCAAGCAGGGGACTTGCAGTGAGCTGGGCGGCTCAGTGAGTGGGTCTGCTCAGAGCAAGCCCTGGCACTTGCAAGGATGTGGCACACTGGGGCTGAGGCCTGTGGTCTGCAAGAGGCCGCTGTCTAAAGTTTCATTAGACAATCTGGGCCCCCAGCACCACCCTCACCCCTCTGGGAGGTGGCATGTCTTTCTATTCCAACGCCAACAGTGAGTCTTGCTGCAGAGTTCTCTAACACTACAGCTGGTCCTGTGACTGGGAATCTAAGTCAGATTTCTCTCTGCAGTTTCATTTGCCTATAGCTGTCCACTTCTGAAACCACAGCTGACACTGTTTGGCTTCCATTGCATTTCAGATCAATGGAAACCCTGGAGTTCAGTTCTGCGGCAGAAACACAACCACTGCGCCGGTGTTTTACTCCTCAGTGAGCACTGCTGTTGTTGTCTTCAAATCAGATGATTTAAGCTCCAACTCTAGAGTAGGCTTCACCTATGAGATTGAAGGTAAGCCCTGAGACTCCAATTCATTCCAGAAAATCTTGTATCTTCCAATTGTGGAAAGAAGTCACCCCAGTGCTGAGGTTAGGGGTTGTAATGATAAACCATTAGATAAGACTCGTAACTAGAACCTATGCTCAGTTTAGCAAATTACTATCAATGGTTCCTGAAGTGCTAAAATGAGTGTAATACTAACTAAAATGTAATGCACTTAATTTAAAAATATACCATTTATTTTATCAATGATCCACTTGACTGCATGTAAGGATCACCATCTATGTGTTTAAAAGCCCAACAAGATAAAATGCCTCCATTATACCTATTTGCAGTTCATTGATTTTTAGTATTCAAAAAGTTGGGCATCCCTAAACCTTAGGGAACTGTTTTACAGACCCATAGTTCTTTTAAAGGATTACATGATTTTATACCTGAGCTTAATTTTTAAGAACACTTTATTTACTGTGTGTTTTGAAATTGATGAAAACAGTCTCTGATCTAAACAAACAATAAAAATACTTCATTTTTTAAAAAAAATCAATAATGACCTATGACTTTACAGTGCTATTACTACAAATAAATCATCAAAGGAATTCCTGGGAAATCATTAGAGAAAATCCTGTCTGCAATTTAGTCTTTGTGCATAAAACAGAGCCTGGGCTGGGCCTGGTGGTGCACACACTCCCCACCCTGGCAGGGTAAAGCAAGAGGACTGCAAGTGTAAGCCCAACGTGGGCAACTTAGTGCATTAGTGGCATCCTGTCTCAAAATTAAAAAATACACAAATAAAAGAAGTGAGGATGTAGCTCAGTATGATGTACCTCTAGGTTCAATTCCCAGTACCAAAAAGAATCACAAAAAAGTTCTAAATGTCAACCACCAACACCCTGACTGGGTCACAGGAGTTTAAAGGATGCTGGAGCCCTGTTTGGGGGACATTCTTGTATCTTGTCCTTGCACAAGAGTGTTTTTGTCAGCAAGTTTTTGTCATGTCTCAGGTATCAGTGACCTCAAAGGTGAAGGAACTGGCTGGATTATCTTTTTCCTAAAAATTGATTACATTTTGTAAACTTTGAAAATTATTCCTGTCAACTTGAAAGAGCAATAAATATTTGGATGCGTATGTTAACTATGAACATTTTTTCTCCTATAAGATTGCAACAGACACTATAACCAGGGATTTGGCAGTCTGAGGAGTCCTGGATGGCCAGACAATTACTATGCGAACCTGGATTGCACTGTGATTCTCTCGGCCCCCCAGAACCACAGCATCTCCCTCTTTTTCTACACTTTGAACATCGAGACCTCCAGGAACTGCGCGCATGACTTCTTGGAGGTGAGGTGCATTTGACTGTTGAGGAAATGACTTAGTGTGAGAGAAGATGGGTCTCTTAGGTGTTTTCACTCTTCCCTCTCCTGTTGCCAACTCTGCATGCCCTTTTCCAGTCCATCCATTCCTTCGCCATTCCATCACTCCATATTGACCAAACACCTTCTAGTCCAGGCGATGGGAAGACAACAGAAGACAAAACATACTGGCTGCCATCAGGGTACTTAGAGCCTAAAAAGACAGGCAGAGGGCAGCAGCCAATCACAGCATCACATGGGAAGGACTAGCACAGTCTGTCCCTCAGGGACACTGACTCAGTTTGGGGACAGCTATGGTTTCTTTCTATAAGCGGCTTATACTGAGTTTTGATCTGAAGGAGCAGAGGAGGTCCAAGGGTAAGGTGCTGATTTTGGCAGGTGGCACTAATTTTGAAAGCGAATTTTGTCTGTAGATGAAACTGCCTAATACTAAACAGCTCACTGATTTCCCTGTGGGCTGCAATCAGCTGGAGCAGCTGTGCTGTTTTCTAAGGACCTTTGAGCAAATATTCTGCGAATTAGAATTAGTGATTCCATTTGACCCCATTGCTCCCCTTCTAGGTGTCTTCCCAAAGGAGTTAATGACATCATTTTACAGTGACCCATGCACACCCATGTTTATAGCAGCATGACTAAAAACACAAGAGCTAAATCTTATGTCTGTAAACAGATGAATGGATTCAAAAATGCAGTCTTTGTCCACAGTGGACACTACTCCACCATAAAGAAGGATACACTTGTGTCGCTGTAGGAAAATGGATGTACCTTGAGACCACAAGGTTAAGTGATGCCAGCTCACATGTCACACAGCTTCTTTTATGTGAGAAACCCAAAGTGCAAATGAAGAGCAAAGTAAAGGATAGATAATAGGAAGTGGGGAGATAGCTCTTTCGAAAAAAGAAAGGAGACCAAGAGATGGAGAGGGAGGAAGAGGGCGGGAAGGGGATATGGAAAGAATTCTGATGAGTTGTGTTCAACTCCACACAGTCAATCACTGGATGCTACAAACTCATACTAAGAGGAAAAACCCAAAGTCCGCTGAGCACGTGCAGCTGAGCTCCATCCCTTTGTCCACCACCACCCCAGAGGAAGCTGCACTGGCATAAGGAATGTCTGCAGTCTGTTTGTCCTGCACCCAGCCCCGCACTTGCCTCCACCCCTCCCCAGAGCACCTTGAGAAAGCCCAGTTCCTGGTGTGGCTGTGAATACCTTGTGGTGTGCCCAGAGCTTCTGTGTCTCATCCGCACCGTCCCCCATAGCCTACTGATGTGGGGGAGGCACGTCTTTGTTTGTGGAGAGGAGACTCTTCTAATGAGCCCTGCACCTTTGAGCAGATCTTTGATCAGATTCTTAGTGCCACTATCTGACCTTTGTAGGCTAAACAAATGTACATGGCTGGCTTCGTTTCTTCTGGGTGGGCTTCATGTGGGCTCCTGGCCTCTTAGTAACCAAAGCCCTTGCCTCACCCTTCTGCTTCTGACCTCCAGCAGCCTTTTTCCCTTTCTGGCCTCCAGCCCCTTCCCAGCTGAGCTCACTGAGCCTCTGCTTCTGCTGTCACATCCAGATTGTTCCTGGCTCCAGAAAAAAGTCTTTTATCAGGATTTAGCTTCAGTGGGATTCCTCAGGCAGTGTTCTGTTCCTGGGAAACTTCACAGAATCTACACACAGTGTGATGACCTTCAGGAGAAGTGCCTGCCTTCCTCATAGGGAGGAGCTGCCAAAGCAGGAAACTGGGTGTGTTGGGGGGTAGGAGGGCAGATGAGGCAGGGGACAAATGAAGGGAGGAATGCCGCCCTGCTCCTGCCAACTAGGGTGCTCCACTCAGGCCTGCACACTTACCCACCCTGGAGATCTAAATGTTTTTATGAAAAATAAAACAGAAATGGGATACGGAGAAAGCTTAGAACTGTCTCGCTTGTCAAAGTGATGGTGAACGCCACTGCATTCACCTGTCAGTTAGAGTTAACACTTGCCCTTGGCCTGCTGCAAGCTGAGAAGGAAAGACCCACTTTCCTGGCTGCTGGGTATTCCACCTCCTGTCTGCCCTTCTCTGCTCCGTGCATAGATCTGAAACTTCCTGTCCAGTAAAGAAAGAAAGAGAAAGCCTGGAGAACATGACCGAGTCTGGTGGGGGCCTGGCATCTTGGCGGCCAGGCCAGGAAACCTCAGCGTTCCACTGTTACCCTGGTGGGAACAGAAATCTTTTACCAGGGACTTGGCCTTGGTAGCAGCAAAGGCCAGGCTCCCAGCCAGTTTCATTGTGGGTGTGTTTATTTTATTGGTACATTTTAGATATACAGAATGATCACATTATCACAGGGAATCTGTACCTGTGCATGATGCGTCTTGCTGCCTCCCACCCCCTTCCCTCCTTCAAGCCCCCTCTCCTGCTTATTTATAGAAGTTTTGTTTCCATGTTTTCTTCTATTCTTTTATTTCTTATCCATTCTTTCTTCATCCCCTCCCTCGTCCTATCTCTCATTTGATCCTCCTGTTTCCCAATATCTATTATACATTTTGGTCCTTATTCACATTCTGGGTTTCTCACACCAGAGAAACAATGCAGTATTTCAACATGTATGTCTGATTTATTTCACTAAAGAATATGGTCCCAATGTATCCATTTAGTTACTTTTTTATTTTATAACTTTTTAAAATTTAATTTTATTGAGAGAGAAATAGCAATGAGACAGTTTCAAAACAGGTTAGTAGGACAGTTACAATAATTAATACATTGCATATTGTTGTCTTTGTAGTAGTTATTTATAGTACAAGATGTAGATATGATATCTTGCCTAAACAATATTATTAAAAATCTTTCTTCTTATTGAACTAAGAGAAAGTAGCTATATATCCTATTTCGTAGATACAGATATATCTATATATCTATATCTATATATTTCACTACAAAATGGTCCTTCATTTATATCCCCCTTTTTGTTTAGTTTTGTTAGAGATGGGTATTCCATTGCCATTCAAATATTGTATGTGTGTGAATTCAGCAAAATAATCCAATATAGTGCAGTAGTCCATAATAGTAGTGGGTTTTCCATAGGACTGGCAATGTCAGAAGCTGTTGACTTGAGCCTTTTACAGCTCAGCATATTAATATGGCTTTACTTTTTATACTTCGTTTTTATACTTTTTTGCTGGATAGTTAAAACCAAGATAAAGCAAAATCTATATAACAAGAAATGTAGCTTTTGTATCTGACAAGGTCAGTCAAATCCCCTCAAGACTTACTCTGAAACCCTGTACAGCAGTTTATAGATCTTTTGTCAGTGTCAGCCATGTGGATGAGTCACAACCATTGCTTGACCAATTTGCTCTCTGAGAAAGCCTGAGAGAATGTTTTCTCTCCATGTGACTCTCTTTAAGCATACTCTACATCATTGATCACTTTCCTCTGTGGCTCCATAATCTCCTTGAACAGAAAATTTGGGACATCACGGAGTTACAGGATGTTACAGTACAGGTTCTCTTATGTTGTGAGTCCTCACTAACCTTGAAGGGCTGGGGCCAAAATGTTAGCTACCTCTGTAGCCCTTTTTTTCCTCTAATTTTTTGGTCTGCAAACTTAAGTTGTTAACCCTCTAGAAGAGAAGCTTAATGACATTATTATCCTACAATGTAGGCAGTTGAGCTTAACATCAGTGTCTGAATATCAAATGGCTTAGATATAACATGGAACAGGTATTTTCCATCAATTGTTGATACGCTAAACCTTAAATCCCTACAGAATGTGAAAAAAAAATAAAAAATAAAAAATTAAATAAGAAACCATTACATATTTTTACACAGAAATTTAGAAATCTAACCATATACTACATTGTAGCAACATCCATTTAGTTATAAATGTCTCAAGTTTATCCTTCTTTATTGCAGAGTAATATCCCACTGTATTTTTAAAAACCCGTATCTTTATCCATTCATCAGTTGATGGACATTCAGACTCTTTCCAAGATTCGGCTAATACAAACAGCACCATTATAAATGTGGGGGGTGCATCTATCACTGTGGGTTGGTGACTTTAATTCTTTTGGGACGATGCCAAGAAAGGGAATAGCTTAGCTGAATGGAACCACTAGTCCCAGTATTTGGAAGAATCTCCACACTGATTTCCACAGTGGTTGCCCCAGTCTGCCCTCCTACCAACAGTGGAGAAGGGTTTCTTTTTCCCTACAGCCTTACCAGCAATTGCTCTTGGTTACTTTCTTGATGATAGCCTTTCTTTCTGGGGTGAGATGGAACCTCAGTGTTTAATTTGCATCTCTCGAATGATCAGTGATGCTGAACTGTGTTTTTGGTCTGTCTGTCTGTCTCTTTCTTTCTTTCTTTCTTTCTTTTTTTTTTTTTTTCTTTCTTTTCTTTCTTTCTTGTGGCTGGCTTAGCCCACTTTTTGGGCAGACCTGGCAAGGCATGTGGTGCCCAGGGATTGAACTGTGGTCCCTGCACCTGCCTACGCTTGCCTAAGCAGGTGCTGTAGACTGCTGAGCTATCTCACTGGCCCCACATGTATTTCTTTTCTATTTCTGCTTCTTCTGAAAAGTGTCATTTCTGTTGGCTTTTTTTGGATTGAGTCTTTAAATTTGGAGTGTCCAATGTTTTTTAAGTTCTTTATGTATCCTAGACAGTAGTCTTTGGCCCTGAGGAACAGCTGGCAGAATGGTTTTTCCCCATTCTGTTGTCTTCACTCTCACTTGCTGGTTTTTCACTATGAAAAACAATTTGGACAAGATGAGATCCCAGTTGTTGACTCTTTGTAATAGTTCTTGTGTGATTAGAGTTTTCTTCATAAAGTTTTTGCTTACACCAGTGTCTTAAGGAGTTCTACCTGTTCTAAGGTCCAGCAGATTTAGTATTTCTGTTTTAATATTTAGTTATTTAATTCATTTGGATTTAGTTTATTTTTTAGCTTAAGAACATAAACATTTATTTCAATTTGTTGATCATCTACTTTTTGAAATAAGCTTATATTCAATAGAACCCATTAGAACAACTTTAGAAGAAATGATCAGGTAATAACTAAATCAACAGTCTAAATTATAAAAAGATAAGGTAGGTAAATATTTATGTTTTCTATCATCCTCTGTAGTTATTTAAGTTTATTTTTAATACTAATTTTATTGAGAAAGAAATAGCGTTGAGACAGTTTCAGAGCAGTTTAGTAGGATAGTTACAATAATTAATACATTGCATATTGTTGTCTTTGTAGTAGTTATTCATAGTACTATGAATATCTGCATCATATCTTGATTTAGTTCAGTGCGTGGTTGAAAATGTAGCTCTAGTTTTAATCTTCAGCATGTGGAAAGGCAGTTTTTTTAGCACCATCTATTAAAGAGGATCTTTCTTCCAGTGATGACGGTGTTTGGCTTGTTTGTCAAAGATAAGGTAGCTGAGTGTGTATGTGTGTGGTTGGCTCTGCATCTTCTAATCTGCTGCACTGATTCTTGAATCTGTTTTCTATACAGGCCAGTTTGGGGTACTCATGTCTTCTGGGTCTTCAGCTCCCTCATTCAGGGTCTTCTGTATTCCAGAGATGCCATCTCAGTTGTTTTATTCCTCCTGTGCAGGAAAAAGTGAATATGAGGAGTTGTTAGCAGCCTCCTATGTGGCTCCTTCTTTCAGAGCAAAAGCATTTTTAAAAAGAGGGCCAGAGGGAAAGAAGCTGCCCCATCTACTGTAAAGGGCTGGCTGCTTTGTTCCAGCCAAGGCCAGCTTGTTTAAACATCTGACAGATAATCCAACCACAAGCAGAACAGCACTGTTCTCGCCCGCTGGCTAGAGGCGATCTGTTCAGATCAGCCCAGCCCAGCCAAATAAGCACTGCACCACTGGAGAAGCTCTCTGATTTAGAGAACTGGCAACTAACTGAACTTTCAACTACAGAGTTATTAAGGGAATTGGAAAACTTCTCAGGTGTTGACTATGTACATCAGTGAAATCAATACTTACCCACGCTGAGCTGGTTCTAGCCAGGCACTGCCCAAGCCATGTTCCTGGCATACTCTTGGAGGTAGGCCTGGCTGAGATGCTCCAGCAGGATCCGGGCTGAGGACTGAGTGAGTGAGGCTGAATGCGCAGGGTGTGTATAACTCCATCCCCACAGCCTGACTCATTTCCTGTTTTGACACATGTCCTGCAGGCTTGTGAGCTGAAAAGAAAAACTACACAGCCTCAGAATGTGCTCTTAACATGCAGTAAATAGAAATCAGAAATTGTATAGGTTCACTGACTTCTGTCCTTTCCTGCATAGAAACCTTTTTATGGAGTATCTGGCAGGGGGAAACTGGAAACACCAAGCAGTACTGCCCCCCAGACCTTCGCACCTGTGCTCTAATTATGTCCTGCAAAGTGCCTTGTCCCAAACGCTACAGAGTGACAGCACCAATTGGAGCATAAACATGCCCTGGTGTTGACTGCTGTAAACTCACAGACATTTCCGAATCCAAATGCAAATGGTTTTTGACCCAGAAATTGAACATTTCTCTCCTTTGCAAGAGAAAGCAACTTTTGTATGAATTTCCAGAAAATCCTTTGCTCCTAAGCCATAAAACTACAAAACTTTTGCACACACACACACACACACACACACACACACACACACATAACCCTGGTCTATTAAACTGTCTCTCCTCCTACTGTACACTAAATGTGAGTTGGAGAAGAAGGTGTGATGGTAGTAACTAGTGCCTTTTTTTTTTTTTCCCTAAAGATAAGAAATGGAAGTGACAGCGGTTCGCCACTACTGGGGTTGTACTGTGGAAGCCTACTGCCAAACCCCATCTTCTCTCAAAGTGGCACAGTGTATCTGCGATTTAAGACTGATGGCAGCATTTCCAGATCCGGTTATGAGCTCACCTGGACCTCTTCCCCTTCTGGTAAGCTATCTGCACTTTGTAAGCTATAGTAACATAGGAAAGGGAAACACAAAAAGTCCAACAGACAAGGACAAAGCAACCTCATCTTCTCTGCTGTTTCACTGATGGTATTCTGTTAAAATTAGACGTAGTTTTGGCTGGCCAGATAGCTCAGCAGATTAAAGCTCCTGCTTAGGCAGACGCAGGGGTCAGAGTTTCAATCCCCAGCCTGCCTTGCCAGGCCTGCCCCTGGGGTGCATCGAGAAGGAGATTATGATTGGGTGTGGTAGCGTACACCT